CGTATTCAATGCATATTTTGAATACTAATTCGAAAATAATTGATCTCTGAAAAGTTCAAATAGCATGTTTTTGTAGAGAATTAAATTCTCTATCAAATAAGTCTTTTCAAAAAATTTCATCGGTTACAATAAACTCATTACATAACGAATGATAATGCCGCAAGAATTGATTTGAAGAAATTCTTTCAATAGAAATCTTTCTTTTTTTTTTTTTTTAATTTTAGGAAGAATGTGGTTCAGTAAAACAATTATTTCATATAACTTTAAAACGAACATCATTTTTACTTGCATTTATGTGGATGACAGCAGCTATGAGTTATTATGGTTTAATATTAATAAATACATCATTAATGACTTTACTTAATGATAAAAAAACTTTAACAAATGAATCAAATAATAATAATAACAAATCAACACAATGTAAAATGTTAACAACTGATGATTATACATCATTAATATTTACAACATTTGGTGAAATGTTTGGTATACCATTATTATTATTTTTTCTATCACGTTTTGAACGTCGTACAACATGTATGATTAATTTTTCTTTAGCATCAATGTGTTTTATATCATTTCTTATAATGCCTCGTCATACACCATGGATTATTAATATAATAACATTTTTAGCACGAATGTTTATTAATTCACAATTTAGTTTATTATATCTTTATACAATGGAAGTTTATCCAACTGTTATACGTGCTATTGCTATTGGATCTGCATCATCAATGGCACGAATAGGTGCAATGATAACTCCATATTTAGCTCAAGTTTTAATAAAACAAACATTTCATGGTGCTATAGGTGTTTATGTATTAGCTACAGCTATAGCAGCTATTTGTGGATTTTTATTACCAATTGAAACAAGAGGACGAGAACTTAAAGTAAGATTTTATTTGCATTCCTAGATAAAAGTCTTCCTCCCCATCGTTTTAAAAAATTTGAATATTTGCCTTCTTTTTATTATCAAACTAATGTTATAATAGAAATATAGCTCTAGGCAATAGTCCTTCTTGCTTTTAATGTTCTTATTTGTTGATTCGAATGACTCAATCTTATGTAACAATTGTTAATATGTAAAATGTAGATCGATATCGAGAATATGTTTTTTTTTTCATCATTCTTTCCCAAGGTTTTAAACATGTCACTTTCTCTGTCACAACGGTATAAAATAATGTTTCTCAAGCTACATCCACCGGAACCTAAATGCTTACGGTATTGACTTGCTTGATATTGCTGAATGATTATATCAAATGATATTTCAAAACATTCTAAAAACAAGTACAGTGTGGATATAGGTTCAAGTATTGTTAAACATCGATTACGTGGAAGCTATAGTCCATCTTTAAAGAATTCCTTATTCACACACAAACATCGTGAGTAATGACTCACCTGGACTCGACAGCATCAAAATTTCAAGTAGAACAACTTGATTGTTGCCGATAAGAAGACATTCAAACTTGACAACAGCGGAAGAAAGATTTAACGGTTTTCAGATATTATCAAAATTGTTCGTACAGTTAAATACCCTCTCAAAGAAATAAGAAACAGAGATGGGATCGATTCGTCATTTTATGAAACCGAATCGATCCTATCTCTGATAAGAAAATTTTGTCAATTGACTCAGCTGTCAAATGAATCGATGGTATAAAAAGACTAGTCAGTACTTGATTGAAGCAAATGGTGACTATACATCATATCAAAATAGAATTTCTTTGTTATACTTTAGTTCGATAATAAAAAGGAAGTAAATATTAAAAATTTAAAACGAACAAAGGAATGGGAAAAACTTTTGTCTGACGATATAAGAGGCATGAAAATAATTGAAAACAATAGAGAGAGAAAAAAAAACAAAATCTATTTTGTTTACAGGAAACAACCGCATGTTTATCGACAGGATCAAAAAGACAGCGATTTTTCTTTTAACAAAAAAATTAAAAGTTGTTTTTATTTTTCTTTGTTGATATATACAATTTTTTGTTTTTGTAATTAACAAATATATATTTGAAAATTATTATTATGTATATGCTATAAATGTTGTGAATGTTTGTCTGCATTTCTTGTCTTATATAAACAAAAAATACTCTGTTTGGAAAGTTTTTGCTTGCTTTATTAGTCAAAATTTCTTAATTATTTTTTATGAAATACATTCATTTGAATTCTTTTTTTTTTTTTGTTCTCTAGCAAGCAACATTCGATTTGCGTAGTTCACTAACAGCATCTGGTGATACTAGTGTACCTTCATGGATGTTAAATGTTGATAATACAACATCATTAGTAAATGTTAATAATGGTATTGTGAATAGAGGATATGAATCAAATAAAGAAGAAAATACGAACAATGAAAAATTATACTAAAATTTAATATATTATTATTTTATTTTGGTTTATCAATTTTTAAATTTTATTTATTTTAATTTTTTTCTTTGTTTATCAATAACTAATGTTATTTTCCATTATTTACACAAGATAAACAAAAAAGCAATTTGACTGATTTTAAATAAATGTACTCAAAAACAAAAATTGACTTAAAAGATAGATTTTTTTTTTAACATACAGAATATTGCAAAAGTTTGCATAAAAATAAAGTCATCGGACGATTCGTTGTAGATGTTGGCGAGAATACACACAAAATATCCGCACTTCTACGACAAATTCTCCTAGTATCGAAAATAAAATATAAATAGTTTCTTAAGAGTTCAAATGATGTAGATAACTTTTTTAAGAATTTGATCTTGTATGCATTAAAGTTTTATTTAAGATACATCAAATAAAATAACATTAGAACCAACATAGATTTATTAATAGTCAAATTTTAGTTATCTATGATTGTAAAATCAAGATTATTGATCGAATTCGATTGAAGGAAAACTACATGAGTGTTTCATTAAAGTTTTCGTCTAACATTTTTAGTGAAGTTAGTAACCTGATAGATTGATTACGTTCTCGAAACATTATAATTATAAATAGATTTCAAAAAAGTCGATGAAATTCATCTTGTTTGTAAAAAATATATCTGATGTAATATATTCGGATCATTGGAAAATACTAATTCAAATGTTTACAGAATTATCATGGGACTCAGAAAATGTTTTCAATAAAATGCAGCTGATTCGTACGTTAGCAGTGAAATACATCTGGTTTTAGGAAAACTTTTTTCTAACATGTAAATTCAAAATAGTAACTTTATATTCATCAGACTTCGTATTATTCGAATTTTTTCTTTAGAAATACATAAAACAAAATATTTGCAAGATATTTACTAACGATCAAGTTCAATTGATTAAAAGATACTATATCTAATATTCTCAAGTATGAGTGTCTGTTTATATCACGCCTTTGTGCCAGATCATAGAACTCAATTTACATAAAGAGTTCTTTGCCATAGATTGTCTCCAAGGAGTATTGATCGATCTCAATATCAGAAAAAAAATGACTGTAAGCTACTATTTCGGAAATTTTTAATTTTTATATTAGTTCAGTTCTCAGTATTCAAAGCTTTAATACTGAATGCACCTTAATTGGCTATACACATCCACACAATTAACATAAAGAGAAATTCTAATTACGCCTATACTTTGAAAACTTTTTTCAAAATTGATCAAGATTCTCTAATAATACTATACAAAAGATGTAGTAGTTAAAATCTTATCAGATATCTCGTTTCCAATAGTCTACGTTCTATTTAATTGTTTTCTCCACATGGTTTACGTGAAAAATTATAATAGATAAGGTGCAGACTATTGAAAAACATAATCAACATGTTTTTTTAATAAATATTATTAACAGATGGACATACAATTGAAATTAAATAATGTACATCCACTGTATTACTAGTATTGAAATATTCAAAGTATAGACATAGTTAGGACTTCTATTTATGTTGATTGTGTGGATTTGTACAGTTAATTAAGGCGTATCCAGTACTATGACTTTAAACATTGAGAACTAGACTAACATAAAAAATAAAAATTTCCGAAATGGCAACTTACAGTAATTTTTTGTGTAGTTGAAATGGACTTCAATCCTCAAAGACAGTCTGTGAGGAGAAACGTTTTATGACATCATGATCAGTTCATCAAGCTCTATAAACTGATACAAAACTGATTGAAAACCGAGACTTATACTTGGGAACTTTCCTTCGTAAGTTCCATGAGATGATTTTGAACAATATGTTATAGATGAAACCACTTTAAACTGATGTAAATCATTTGAATTGTTAAGGAACTATTCACATTATTTGAAACACCTTCGATTTTTAAGAAAGATTTATGATTGACTAATAACAAAAAACGTTTCCTTGACAACGTGCTTGACCATAAGTTTGTCGTTATATCTCATCAGAAATATTTCCAACTACAATGGATCTCATTATTTTGTATATGGCACGTCTTCTCCTCTATGCTTTTTTTCTAGAAGAAAACGATAATGACGTCTTTTATTTTTGTTATTGCGACGAGTGAACAAACAAAACATTTTCTTTTTCTTCGTTTATATTAAAATCGAATAGTTCTTTCTAATATAACCTTCATTGAAGCCATCAATAGATTGTCAAGAATGAAATGAAAAAAAAAAAAAAAAACTTTTTTCTCTCCTCATAATTATATGTTCTATTTCTCATTGGTTTCTATGTATTTATTCAAATAGTTGTATAATATCAATCAAACAATAAGATACTCAGATTTAATTCATAAACGAAAAAATCATTATATGAAAGAATGTTTCTCGTTTTTTTTTTCCTCACTGAAAAAAAAAACTACATCAAGTATATAGTAAAATATTACATACACGTACACAATACACAATGTCAAGTGAGACACACAAGAAAAAAAAGATGCCTAAGGCCTAGAGAATTCTTGGTTATTTTTTTTTTTATCTTTTCAACAAACGAATTGAATAAAGAAGAAACCGGTGTTTTTTTATAATCAAAAAAGAAAAAAAAGAAAAAAAATGGTTCCTTTTGTACAATTATGATACAAATTTAATGAGAAATAACATCACAATGTTGTTTGATTATTTTTATTATCAATAATTGTTTGTTGTGATGAAATCATATTATTATTATCTGTATTATTATTTGTATCATTTGTTGTTTGTTGTTGTGTTGTTATCCATGTTAAACGTTCTTCATAAAATTTTATAACAACTTGTGGACATTTTACATTACAAATACGTGATGGAACAAGATCAGCTTCACTTGTACCTTTCCATTGAACTAATAACATTAATTCACCCTAGAAATAAAATTTTCTTGAAATAGATTTTTATTGTTTCTCTTTTTTTACTACAAATCTTACTGTTGCATCTGTAGCTCCAAGTATTTTTTCAGCTTCATAACCACGATCAAATGCTGATGCTTCTTCAATACGTGTTGATGAACTTTGTTGTTTAGCATAATTATTTCGATCGAGTGGTGGTCGACCACGTTTATTATGTACTGGTGCTTGATCAAGTGATGATTTACGTTTAAGAGTTGATGAATCATTATTCATATAACGAGTTTTTTGTAATAAACGATTTTCATATTCTTCAATTAAATCTGGACAATCTAAATTTTGTTGTGGTTCCTAATAAATGAATATTTATTGTTTCTTTATTAAAAATGAAATATTATTTTTACCCAAGTATTTTCTTCTTCAGGATAACCTTTCCATGCAAGTAAATATTCTTTTCGACCATTTCGAAAACGATGACTAACAATACGTTCAACAATAAATTCTTCACCTTCATCACCACCAAGCATATGTTGTTTATCTCCACTAGTATTATTCATTGTATATTTGAATAGATTTTTAACAGAAGAATATTTAAATAAGAAGAGAGCGACAGAGGAGAAAAAAAAAAGCTTTTTTTCACCAATCGATTAACGAGTATACATACACAAAGATGAAAACGAGAAATGTTCAGATTTAATTAAACCAATCGAAATATAATTGAACATTTAAAAACAAAAAATTTTGTTTTTATAGAATAATTTTACTTTAATTTTTCAAAGCTAACATATTAAGGATTATAAATAATTAAAAATAATTCTTTCGATAGATGTCGTATAGATGTGCTAGGATGTGGTTTGAATATAAACCAATAAAGCACTTTTTTTGTCAATTTGTTGAAAGTTAGATGATGTAAGAAATATGAAGTGGCGGAGTCAAAAAAACGTAGTTAGGGAAGGGTCAGTCTCGATTTGAAGCTGAAAAGGAAGTTTATTCTTGTAGGAACGTTCTGTTTTTGAAGAAGGGTTGAACTTCTCTCTGGTCACCGTCTGGTTCCGCTAGGAAAGTTGAACAAGGATATTTTTAGTACAGAGAAGTAAATATGAACTTATAGGTTACATTTATAGATTGAGAGTAAATGCGTATATGAATAAGAGTAAACACTAAAATTGATATGTATGTTGAAAATTAAGGAGAAAATGATGAGATTCTACTAAATGAATAGAATACTAGTTATTTAACATTTCAATTTTTTTTTGCTTATCATACATAACTTCTGGCATGAATGTCCTACATACAAAGTATTCACTCATTTTTTCGATCACTTTAAAAACAAGTGATTAAAGCCAGTTGGAATCAGAATTTTCTTTTTCTTTTTTTTGCTCTTTCTCAATATATGTTCGGATTTTCTTTCTGGAATAAGTTTGAATAACTATGTATCAGTAAATTTTGTGAAAAAGTTCAAAATATTAATTGTACAGAATAGTATTTTAATCAATATTCTATTTCGATTAAAACTAATCAAATTGAAAATACAAAACAATTTTTAATGGTTCAGTTTTTCAGATCAAAATTTACTTTACAAAGCGTACTATTTATTTTTCTAACAGATTAAAATTCAGTAATATATTGAGTTGAAGCTGTGCTAAGACACAAACCAGGGACTAGAGGCTGTGGAATCCAAAATCTTCGAAGCTGGACCTGACCGAGTGCGAGATTAATCCAACAAGCTTTACCCAAGACTTTCACGCTATTGATTAAATGAATTATAAATTTCAATTTTGTAAAATATTTCATTTAAATATTTTTTTTCTTCTAGAGAATTTTTCTCATTCTTATTTTTTATCAACCTGAAAAGAAACATCATCCATTGACTCGTTTAATGGCACTTCGATTGCTTTTATCAAATCGTATAATACTTCCTCAACGAATTTCATTTATACGATTTTCTCGTTATTATACACCACTTACATTTGAACATCATTCAATAAGTTCTTCAAATTCGATTTCAAATTCTTCTATCTATTGTCATCAACATAAAACTAATAGTTCATTATTATCAACACATCGTACATATTTTCTTTCATCAAAATTTGCTTCATTTTCATCAAATTCATCAAATTCAAAAGACGGTAATACACCACCATCACCTCCATCGGATGGTAATTCATCATCTTCATCATCATCATCTTTTTCAAATGATGGAAAAAATCAAAATGGTGATGATAGTGGTGATGGAGGAAGTGATCCTACACAGAATACTGTACCTGTTGTAATTCAAGCAGGAAATCCTTTAATGCCTGTTGAAGTACCAGAACATTATCCAATAGTACCATTAATACCAGTTTCACGTCATCCATTATTTCCAAAATTTATAAAAATGCTTGAAATAACAAATAAAGATTTAATGGATTTAATAAGACGAAAAGTTAAATTAAATCAACCATATGCTGGTATATTTTTACGTAAAGAAGCATCAACAACATCATCAACAGATTCTAAAACAGTAGAAACTATAAAAGAAAAACTTGCGAGTACAGTAACATCAGATGTTATTAAAAATCTTGATGAAATTTATAGAATTGGTTCATTTGTACAAATTCATGAAGTACATGATATGGGTGATCGTTTACGAATGATTGTTATGGCACATCGACGAATTAGAATTGTTGGTATTGCATCAGATGATTCAGGAATAGAAGATTTAGATCGACGACGTTTACAACAAAAACCTAATGGTAATCGTAGACGATCAAGACGAAAAGGTTAATAATTTAAAATAGTTCGATTAAGAACAAAAACAAAAAAAAATTTTTTTTTCTTCGATATAGATGATTCAGCTATGGTAGAAGAAACATCTCCTGAACCTGTATCACCATCATCGACCAGCGAAGAACCTATTGTTGTCAATAAAATTTTATTAGCCGATACAGAAAATGTTACACATGATGATTATGAACAAACACCAGAACTTAAGGTATGATGAAATGGAAATTCGATACTAAATCTTATCTTTACGAAAGAACTCATTTGATTGATGTTATCTGTTTGAGCTCATATTTTGCTCATAGATTAGACTCATTGTATAGATAAAAACTCTAAAAGAATTCGTGCTATTAGATCTTTCCTCTTATGTCATGATTATTTGACTGAACCTGCCGTTTTCCACAACAATAGGTCTTATGATTTGTATAATAACCTGAAAGTTTCAGCCGAAACAGATGATTTTTCCTTAACATATAAAATGTCTACAAAAATGAACTATTTTGGAAGTTTTATCAATGTCTTGTCTTGGAAGGGCGAACGTCTATTTGAACTGAAGCTATTAGCTGGAGAGCTATGGGTCTACGTTTTTGTAGACATAGGTCTGGCCGAGTCTATATTCGAGTTTTTTTTAATACTGTCTGACATTCTCGGTGTATATGACCAAATAAACAATCAAGATTCCAGGTATGTGTTAACTCTTAGGAAAAAATTGAATCGTAGCCGAATCACTATACCTATGCAGATTGATGCCAGGTCTTTTCTATTAAGACACAAAGTTGAATACAAATTGGATCTGCAATTAAATTTGAATTTGACAAAAATTAAAACATTGAACCCAGAACGGTCTGTAACTTTCTATTTCTACGATATTGTAAAATCTATCATTGTAGTTTATCTATACTATAAGTCTTGTTTATGAGCAAAATATAAATTCAAATAGAGAATGTCAGGTGGATAAATCCTTTGGTTAGTTAATTTGTTTAATGTTATTGACGAATGATGATACCAATACGATCTTGTCCAAAGAAGTTTTTAGAAATTGTCAAACGTTCTTTTTTTAATTGCTAAAGATTAATCTGCTGTTTGGATGTCTTTACAAAAAAAAAAAAAAGAAATGAAATTTCAAAATGAATAATAACAATATAATGATCTAAGTTCATTCAGTCTTGGATAAAAAAATATATGTTAAACATTTTTACAACAAATAAAAATGTGAATAAATACTTTATTCTATCGTTATTATTTTTTTCTTTATGATAAGTTAAAAACATTCGATATTAGACGATATTTTATTCATATATTTTTGATATATATATATATATATTGTATATTTTAAGGCATTAACTGCAGAACTTGTGAAAACTATTCGAGATATTGTTGCATTAAATCCATTTTATAGGTAAAAATAAAAACGATTTCCTGTCTCTTCTATTAAGAATTTTGAATTTTTTTGTTTTGTATTTTAGAGAATCAATTGCAGCACTTATTCATAGTGGACAACGAGCTGATCATCCTGTATATTTAAGTGATTTAGGAGCAGCACTTACAAGTGCTGAAGGTCCTGAACAACAAGCTGTTATGGAAGAAATGAATGTATGTGTTTTGTATAATTGTTCTTTCATATAAACAAAAAAAAAAGAAATTTGTTGTTCTATTCTTGTTTTTTTCTAGATTCCAAATCGATTAATGCTTACATTAAATTTATTAAAAAAAGAATTAGAAATGAGTCGTCTTCAACAAAAAATTGGTAAAGAAGTTGAAGAAAAAGTTAATAAACAACATAGAAAATTTATGTTAATGGAACAATTACGTGTTATTAAAAAAGAATTAGGACTTGAAAAAGATGATAAAGAAGCTATGAATGATAAATTTCGTACAAGATTAAAAGTAATTGAAATTAAGAATTTTCTCTTTTTTTTTTTTAATAATTTTATTTATTAAAAATTTTACTTTAGGATCTTAATGTACCAGCACATGTTAAAATAGTTATTGATGAAGAATTAGAACGATTAAATGTTTTAGAAAAACATTCAGCAGAATTTAAGTTCGTTTAATATTATTATTGTTTTTTAAAGAGAATTTTTCTAATTATTTCCATTTGTTTTTCTTTTCTAGTATTTGTACAAATTATCTTGATTGGTTAACAAATCTTCCATGGGGTAAAATAAGTGAAGACAAAACAGATCTTGATTATGCACAAAAAGTACTCGATGAAGATCATCATGGAATGGAAGATATTAAAAAACGAATTCTTGTAAGAAATAATAAATTAAATTATTATTAAAAGTATGGAGAAGGAAGTCAGCCTTTTCATCTTGAAAAATTTTCGTTTATCTGCATGGAAGTTTTAGCTAGAGATGTACAGAGTTTGTTTTAACGTGTTTCTGCTCGCTGACACCCAAACAAACTGTAGGAAAAATCTTCCAATAGTCCTCCTGACGAAGGAACATATCCAAGTAGTTCGCTCCGTTCGTCTGCATGTTTTGTTTATGTACACGGTCTATTATAGTCGGAAAAAGCCTAAGAGAATGCATGCTTTTGTTGTTTGAAGTTTTTCGTTTTTTACATAGTGAGATATGCTAACGCTAGAATTTTCATTGCTTACGCAGGAACGTTCCCATGTAATTCACTCCGTTTGTCTCCATATTTTTCCCATATGTAGGAAATCACTAGAGTAGTGTGACTTCCAAAGAATTCTTGTTCATGTTTAAATTTGGTCAAGATAGTAAGTTTTCAGGAGATTTCTTTTGCAGTAGTTCAAGTTTTTCAATTTTTTTTAGTTTTGGAAAGATTGTCTTTTAGTTGAAATCACCCAAGCTCTGTACCTCTTGTAATGGCAAAGTTATAAAGATTCCCCACAAGACCATAAATGGACTATAAATAAGCCAGAAGTTTACTCTAGCTTGACATATCGAGTTGAAGTTTTTATCAAAACTATTTCTCACTAGGATCAAGGATTCCTGAAAATTTTATCCCAAATAGACCATCCTAAGTGGAAAACCTATTGTGAGAAAGAGGATCCTTTTAAGTATGGTGTAATATAGGGATATGTTGAGAAACCCATATCTTGGCAATACGATATCCAAAACTGATGGAATTTTATACATAAAATAGTCTAATCAAGATCTCAATGTGTACGAAATTTCAGGTTGAAATTCTAAATTATGATTTTTCCCAAAAATTAGACTCCGACAAGAGGAGTTCACTAAAAATTTGTTATTTTAACCAAATCTGAACATGAATAAGAATCTTTTGGAGATTATACTACTCTAATGATCTCTTACATATGAGTAAAATATGGAGACAAACACGTGGATGATGAAAAATGTATTTTTCGTTGATCATGAATAGATATTTTCGTCAGATGAAAAGAGATCCATTTCCTTTTTAAATACATAGTTAATGAAACTTTGTGATTGTACATTTGTATATACTCTGCTTACGAAAAAAGAAAGTGTACACAATGTACACTTCACTAGTATAAATAAAGTATAAAAAGACATTCTGTTTTCGTATTTCTATTAGAAATATTGTTGGAGACACTCATGAATAATTTTTGTTTTCTTCTAGGAATTCATTGCTGTTAGTCATTTAAAAAAATCAACACATGGAAAAATTCTTTGCTTTCATGGACCACCTGGTGTTGGAAAGGTAAGTTAAATAAAGCGATATTTCTATTAAGATAAATATTCTCACGGATCGATTATCAAGATTTTTTAAATTTAATATACTGTATATAAAATTTTAATTTTATCGGTTTTTTTTTTCAGACAAGTGTTGCTAAATCAATTGCACGTGCACTTGATCGACAAGTAAAAATTTCGTATTTAATAAATTAGAATATTAGTTTGTATTTTTTTGTTTTGTTTAGTATTTTCGATTTAGTGTAGGAGGTATGCATGATACAGCAGAAATTAAAGGTCATCGTCGAACATATGTTGGTGCAATGCCAGGAAAAATGATACAATGTTTAAAAAAAACTAAAACAGAAAATCCACTTGTATTAATCGATGAAATCGATAAATTAGGTCGTGGTGGTTTTCATGGTGATCCATCAGCTGCTTTACTTGAAATGCTTGATCCAGAACAGAATGCATATTTTCTTGATCATTATCTTGATGTTTCTGTTGATCTATCAAAAGTATTAAGATTTTCTAGGCAATTTTCTTTTTTTTTTTTTTTTCTATAAAATTTAATTATTTTAGGTATTATTTATATGTACAGCTAATGTACTTCATACTATTCCTGAGCCATTAAGAGATCGTATGGAAGTTATTGAAGTATCTGGATATGTTGCTGAAGAAAAATTAGCTATTGCAAAAGTAATTAAAATAAATATAATTATATATATATATATATTTGTTTTTTATTTAGAATTATTTAATTCCAATAGCAAGTAAACAAACAGCTGTAAAAGATGATGCAATTGAAATAAAAGATTCAGCTTTAATGCAACTTATAAAAGCTTATTGTCGTGAAAGTGGTGTTCGAAATTTACAAAAACATATTGAAAAAGTTTGTTAAAAGAATTTTTTGTTTTTAAATATTTATTATTATTTAATTTAATAGATATTTCGAAAAGTTGCATTTAAAATTGTTAAAGAAGGTGGTAACAAAGTTGTTGTTGATGATGGAAATCTACAAGAATTTGTTGGAAAACCCGTATATACAACAGATAGAATGTATGAATTAACACCACCTGGTGTTTCTATGGGTCTTGCATGGACAGCTAGTGGTATGTTTAAATGATATCTATTAGATAGAAATTTTACAGCTATAAGAAATTTTTTTTTTTCTAAGTAAATATCAGCAAAAGTCAAGTCCGGAACTTTTTCTTTCGGAAGCAGGAGGATTTAATCAGATTTTTCAAGTAGAGATTATTTGCCGGAGTGTTCGATGGAAGAAACAGTAGACTTCAATAGAGATTTCCAAAGGCTTCAAGACTGAAGTCTCTGCAGCTTTCTCTTCGGGATATCGTCAGGATTGGGGGGCGGGGACAGGGATCAATAACTCAGGATTTTGAGAATTTGGAAGCGAAAAAAAAACCAGTAAAACACCGCTCGAGAAGAACAAAAAGTTTTTTCATATTAGGAATTATTTGAGATTTATTATTTATTTATCGATTGCGTGTTCTTTCTTTTCTGAATCAAGAACAAGAAACCACAGATAGTACAAAAAGTATTCATACATTTATTAATACTTTCTTTGTATTTTTTTCTTTTGTGTAATAAGAGCATCAATATGAAAATTTCTTCTTGGAGCAGAGAACAAATATATTTTCTCTTCAACATTTGATATCTCTCAATATGTCCTCTATTACATATGATAGTCAAGGTTCGAATCCTGCGTAAATAAGATCAAATTAATTCCTTATCATTATTATACAAATCGATCAATAGAATAAACAAAAATATAATTAAATGCCTGAATACTTTTCTCACTATCTATATATCTCTTGCATTTGTGATAATTAATTCTTAATAATAAAAATTTTAATTATTTATTTTTTTTTTCTATTCAGGTGGAAGTGTAATTTTTATTGAATCACGTCTTATCAATCCTATTGAAGCTTTGGATACATCGACAACTACAATAAAAGATGATAAGAGTAGTAGACTAAATGGTAGTTTAACATTAACAGGTAAATTAGGTGATGTTATGAAAGAAAGTTGTACAATTGCATCAACATATGCAAAATCATTTTTACAACAAATTGATCCAAATAATCGAGCATTACGTATTGGTCATATACACATTCATATACCAGAAGTAAGTATCAAAACAGAAAAAAAAAAAAACAAGAAAATCTTTCTGTTTGTTTTTTTAGGGTGCAACACCAAAAGATGGTCCATCAGCTGGTTGTACAATAGTTACAGCACTTCTATCACTTGGTTTAAATAAACCAATAAAACAAAATGTTGCTATGACAGGTGAAGTATCTTTAACTGGTCGAATTTTACCTGTTGGTGGAATAAAAGAAAAAGTTATTGCTGTATGTTTTGTTTTTTTTTTACATTTCTAAATCCCATTTATTTTTTATTTTTAACTTTTCTTTTAGGCTAAACGAGCAAATGTTCATACAGTTATATTACCACATGAAAATCAAAAGGATTATAATGACCTTCAAGATTTTATTAAAGATGGACTAACTATTCATTTTGCTAAAACATATGATGAAGTTTATAAAATTGTATTTGATGATCAATAAATTAAAACAAAAATGATTTCCATATATAAACAAAACAACTGCTGAATTGTTTTTTTTTTTCATAGTCAAAATAGTTTGCTTTTTCATTTTTTTTTTTTTTTGTTTTTTGTTATCCAGGTTTTTTTTTTCTTCATTCTTTAATACACTATATGTGGCAATTTTTTTTGTTAATCAAGATAACAAAAATGTCTAAATCATAATTTATTAAATAATGAACAAGTAAGTGATTATACAAGAAATATTCATAAGGGGGTCTAACCCCTATATTTTCATTGCTGACGTCATTCTAGTGTTGTTGTTTTTCTTCTTCCGACATAAAGTCTTGAAGAAAAAGAGAGTGAGGAAAGAAAAAGAGACAGAGAGAGAAAAAAAAAGAGGGATTGGCACAGGACTCCTGTTTTTCTGGAAGCAATCTATAGCAAAATGTGAGCGGAGAACATTTGTTTGCTGCTCTTTTTATCCGTTACGAAAGAAGAAAAATGATTGGCATTGGTTGGTGAGGTTTCTTTTTGTTTGCATGTATTTTCTCTGCTCTCGTCTACTTGTACAATCATAGCAAAGAAATAGAACATCGAGGTGTGTTTATAAACCATACTTTTCTTTTACCACAATCACTTGCAAAAGGGGGGTAAGAAAAGAAAGACGTAATTTCTAAAAAAAATAAAGGACAAAATAGTACCATGTTCAAAGATACAAACGTTGGTTTGTTTTCATTGTTTTTGAATTTTCAGATATGTCGATTTTATCACGTGCCGTGTGTAATCACACGGGATCATTAAAATTAAATTCTGGTCTCAATCCTATGTATCGTATTGTACGAAATTTGAATAGTGAAACGCCACCGGAAGAGGAAGGGTATTTGTTTTTTTGTTTGAAATTTTATATTTTATCTTTTGTTTTTTGAATGCAAAATTTTTTCTTCAATAGAACTGGTTTTTATACTATGGTAGAAAAATTTTATGATCGTGCTGCAAGAATTCTTGAAGAAAAATTAGTAAATGATATGCAAAAATCGAAATTAACTGAACAACAAAAACGTATTAAAGTACGAGGAATATTAACAATGATGAAACCACCAAATTATGTTTTGGCCATGACATTTCCTGTTCGACGTGATAATGGTGAATGGGAATTAATCGAAGCATGGCGTGCTCAACATTCATTACATCGTACACCATGTAAAGGTGGTATTCGTTATTCTATGGATGTTAATTTAGATGAAGTTAAAGCATTAGCTGCTTTAATGACATTTAAATGTGCTTGTGTTAATGTTCCATTTGGTGGAGCTAAAGCCGGTGTAAAAATTAATCCAAAAGGTAAACAAAAAAATTCTTTTGTTCTTTTTGTTTTTAAAAGTAAATATTTTTTTGTGTTACATTTTATAGATTGGTCCGAAGGAGAATTAGAACGTATTACTCGAAGATTAACAGTTGAATTAGCTAAAAAAGGTTTTATTGGACCTGGTCTTGATGTACCAGCACCAGATATGGGTACTGGTGAACGTGAAATGGCTTGGATTGCTGATACATATGCATCAACTGTTGGTTGGGAAGATATAAATGCATATGCATGTGTTACTGGTAAACCTATATTACAAGGTGGTATTCATGGACGAACATCAGCGACAGGTCGTGGTTTATATTATGGTCTAAATAATTTTCTAAATGAAAAACATTATATGGATCTAATTGGTTTACCAACTGGTTTAAAGGGAAAAACATTTATTGTTCAAGTAATTAAAAAAAAAACAAAAAATAATAAAGAAAGAAATTTAATCAAAATTTTGATTATTTTTGTTTTTTCTTTTTTTAAGGGTGCGGGTAATGTTGGTTTTCATTCTATGCGTTATTTATCACGAAATGGTGCAAAATGTGTTGGTGTACTTGAATGGGATGGAGCTATTGTTAATCCAAATGGTATTGATCCATTAGCATTAGATGAATATAAATTTCAAAATGGAACTATTATTGGATTTCCTGGTGCAAAACCTTATGATAAACAACCAAAAGAAGAATTACTTTGTGAACCATGTGACATTCTTATACCAGCTGCAAATGAACAACAAATAACATCAAGCAATGCTGGAAAAATTCAAGCTAAGGTTAGATTTAATATGATTGTCTTTGTTTAAAAAAAATAAATAAATTTTCTAATTTAGATCATTGCTGAAGGTGCCAATGGACCGACAACACCATCAGCAGATAAAATTCTTCTTGGAAAAAATGTCTTAGTTATTCCTGATATGTATATCGTAAGTATTTATTTATTTATTTTTTGATAGAAAAAAAAAAAAATTATTATTTTTTATCATAAAGAATGCTGGTGGTGTAACAGTATCCTATTTTGAATGGCTTAAGAACCTTCAACATACATCATATGGTCGATTGACATTTAAATATCAACGAGATACAACTTATTCACTTCTTGGTAGAATTTATTATTTTCTTCTTGAAATTTTTTTTCATAAATGAATCGGTTTTTTTTTTCCTATTTTGTGTAATGTAGAAAGTGTTCAAAGTTCATTAGAAGCTAAATTTGGTAAAATGGGAGGAAAAATTCCAATTGTAAGTAATGAAGATAATTTTAATGAAGAAAAACAAAAAAAAAAAAAAAAAAAAATTTCTATAATAGATTCCTAGTGAAAGATTTTATAAACGTATGGCTGGTGCATCTGAAAAAGATATCGTACATTCAGGTCTTGAACAAACAATGGAAAAAGCTGCACGTTCTATTATGCAAACAGCTCAAAATTATAAATTAGGTTTAGATTTACGTACAGCTGCATATGTAACATCATTGGAAAAAATTTATAATGTCTATTCAGCTGCTGGTATGACATTTGGTGTTTAATTGTGTATAAGTATGATTGAACAAACAGATATACATTGACATGAAAAAAATAAAAAGTTTTCATCTTTTTTTTTTTTCTTTTTTCTGTGAAGTGATTACAGTTAAACAAAACAATAGTTTCTTTGTTGTATTACTCTTAGATGTCCATGTTTATTTTAATGAACATAATTTGACCGATCCAAACTTTGAACGAAATATATTTTTAGATAAAAAGCAAAAAAAAAAAAGATGTTAAAAATAAGTTCACGTCATAATAAAACATTACAACAAGTATCAACATATTCAATTATACGTTTTTCATCTCATGCATCAACACAACAACAACAAGGACCAGCACATTTTGGTTTTTATCGTCAAGTTGAATTATTTTATGATCGTGCTGCAAAAATTCTTGAAGAAAAATTAGTTGCTGGTATGCAACGAACAAAATTAACTGATGATTTGAAACATAAAAAAGTACGAGGAATATTAAAAATTATTAAACCATGTAATCATGTTTTGGAAATGAGATTTCCTATACGAAGAGATAATGGAGAATTAGAAATGATTGAAGCATATCGTGCACAACATTCACAACATCGTACACCATGTAAAGGTGGTATTCGTTATTCTATGGATGTTAATTTAGATGAAGTTAAAGCATTAGCTGCTTTAATGACATTTAAATGTTCATGTGTTGGTGTACCATTTGGTGGTGGAAAAGCCGGTGTAAAAATTAATCCAAAAGGTAAACAGGAAATTTCTTTTTTGTTTATATTAAGTTAATATTTGTATGTTAATATTAGATTGGTCCGAAGGAGAATTAGAACGTATTACTCGAAGATTAACAGTTGAATTAGCTAAAAAAGGTTTTATTGGACCTGGTATTGATGTACCAGCACCAGATATGGGTACTGGTGAACGTGAAATGGCTTGGATTGCTGATACATATGCATCAACTGTTGGTTGGGAAAATATTCATGCATGGGGTTGTGTTACAGGTAAACCTATTCTTACTGGTGGTATTCATGGACGAACATCAGCTACGGGTCGTGGTTTATATCATGGTGTAGATAATTTTGTTAATGAAGCGTCATTTATGTATGTATAAAAGAAAACAAAAAATCGTTTGTTTTTTTTTTCTCAGTTAGATGCAAAAATCTAATTTTTTATTTAGGGGAATGGTTGGTCTTTTACCTGGTCTTGCGGGTAAAACATTTATTGTTCAAGTAATTACAAAAAAAAATTCATGAGAAAATTTAATCGAAGTTTTGACTTCTGTTTTTTCTTTTTCGAGGGTGCGGGTAATGTTGGTTTTCATTCTATGCGTTATTTAACTCGACATGGCGCTAAATGCATTGGTATACTTGAATGGGATAGTGCTATTGTTAATCCAGATGGTATTGATCCAAAAGCCTTAGAAGAATATAAAACAGAAAATGGCACAATTAAAGGTTTTCCAGGTGCTAAACCCTATGATAAACAACCAAAAGAAGATTTACTTTGTGAACCATGTGATATTCTTATACCAGCTGCAAGTGAACGACAGATTACAAGTGAAAATGCACATCGTATACAAGCTCGAATTATTGCTGAAGTAAAATATATATTGTTTTTGTTTTATTAGTATAAAAAATAAAAAATATTTTTTTTTCTTTTTAGGGTGCTAATGGTCCAGTAACACCGGAAGCTGATGAAATTTTATTGAAGAATAATGTACTTGTTATTCCTGGTATAGAAAAAAAAAATCCTTTTTTTTGTTTCTTTTTTTTTGTAAATAATTTCTTTAGATTTATATGTCAATGCTGGTGGTGTAACTGTTTCTTATTTTGAATGGTTAAAAAATTTAACTCATGTCAGTTATGGTCGATTAACATTTAAGTATCAACGTGATACTAATTATTCTTTACTTGGTAGATGTTTTAAATAGAATTTATTTTCAAATTTTTTGTTTATTTTATATAGAATCCGTACAAAGTTCATTAGAAGCTAAATTTGGTCGCATGGTAAATAATTAATTTTTTTTTACTAATCTAAAATCATAATTTTTCTTAGGGTGGAAAAATTCCAATTGTAAGTAGAAAATTTTGTTTTCGAAAAAAAAAACGAAACTATTTTAAAAAATATATTATCTTAGGTACCAAGTGATGAATTTTTTAAACGTATGGCTGGTGCATCGGAAAAAGATATCGTACATTCAGGTCTTGAACAAACAATGGAAAAATCTGCACGTGCTATTATGCAAACAGCAATACGTTTTAATCTTGGTCTTGATATTCGTACAGCAGCATATGTTAATGCTATTGAAAAAATCTATGATGTTTATGTTAGTGCTGGTATTGCATTTGGATCATAAATTACTTGTATTTTTAGTTTTGTGGAATTGTTTTTCTCTTTCTTCTCAAGATATAGACTAAAAGAGTGAATTCTTTTTTTACTTTTCGTTGTATCAGTTCGTATTTATTTTTTTGTCATTATTCCCAATCAAAATTTCTATTTTTTTCACATCACTTATTTTCAAATAATTCCAAGGTGCATAATGTAGTACTTTCTTTTTTTTACTTAGTGACAAAAAAATAAAACTGATCCAAAATTGGTTTATGTAAAATAATATTTGCAAGTATAATTTTATTTAGAAAGAAAATACTTTACATTAAATATATTTAATTGAAACAAGAAAAAACCAGACTATATCCAAGTTAATATGATCTATCGTGATTGCAATTATTCTTTCAGATATTTTAATTATATGTTATTAAATTTTATTATTCATTCTAATGATGTTTTGTTTAATACATTTGTAGTTTTTCATAATGAAGAAATAATTTCGTATAAAAATTCATATCATATTTACATGAAAGTAACTAATGATAGTTTACAACATTTAGAAATAGTTGATATAGATTCGAATGATAATATTTTATATAAAGACTTTCAATTTTGGACGCATATCATATGTGTGTTCAGAGAAGCGCGTGTATTCTTTGCTACGAAAATTGTTTTTTTCGCACTGAACTAGTGTAGTTAGAATTCGTGCGTAGCTGATTATCTAAAGGAGAACGTAAGGGAGAGAGAAATCTAGATTTTCTTGAACGTTGTATAGAAGGAGAGTAAATGTTGGAGTTGAAAGGGTTACAGTCATTTGGTCGTTCCAGAAATAACATAAATTTGTTCACAATGACGACGAACAAATAATAATTGCCAATTGTTTTGCTGTTAAATTAAAAGTTCGTTTACGTCATTCATATTTACCTGCTGTGAAGTTATATAATCTAGTTGATAAAAATAAATCACATTTTTTACCAATGGAATAAGACTCAAAAGAATTTGCTAAAACGTTCAATGCAAAATTAGATGGTGTTAATCAACTTGTTTCATTAGTCTGACCGTTAACAACATCACCATCCGTTCGTAGTGATATATTTATGTTTTCTTGCTATTGATTGTACTCCTATAACATCTTCGCGTGAATAACCAGCAATTGCTGTTGTTACTGATTCAAAACATTCAGCAAGTCAATTTTTTATTAAAAAAAGGTTCTTTTTTCAAATGCTTTTTTTGTTGTTAGACTACACAATATACTGAACGTGTTATTCAACAATTTTCAACAAAAGAAACAGTAGCTCTTGAAATAATAGAAGATCTTCATATACTTATTGGTGAATTATTACGTGAATTTTCATCTCATAATTTTCATGTTTATCAAGTCAATTCGTTTTTTATCGAGCTGGTTGGTATTAACGATGGATCATTTGAAAAAATACGTTATAATGAATTACGAGCTATTCAACCAACATCAAAAGGTAAGCATGATTTGTCAAAGACGAAATCAAATGAAACAATTTTTCTCTTCCTATAGAATTATATATGGTCATAATCAATTATCCGAAATTTGTTTTGTTGTTGATAAGAAACGTCATAATACTCGTTTTTCTTACTTGGGATAAACAATCGAATCAAACAAATAATACTCAACTAGGTTAAAATCAATTTTGATTTTGACTTTCTTCTTAACGTTTAATTCTCTAGAATTACAAGAATCATCTCAATCCACATAAATATCAAAATACGTCAAAAGCTCGATTTTTATTATCGAATAATATTGCTGCTATAACTTTTTATAGTGAAAAAATTCCAATCACCTTTCATATTGTACCGTATCATCATTTACTTACAATTGATAATAATATAGGCATATGTTCAACTCGACATTTATCATTAGCCGTTGTTGTACTTGATTGATCACAAACAAAATTCTCCTATATATTTTATATCAATAATTCGATTGGCATATACGTCAATGGACAATCAATATTGAAAACAATGATCAAATTGAATTAATTAATTTATATAAAGCGATGTTCTGGCTATTGAAACATCAGATTCTCATGTTTGATGGGTTTATTGAGTAATCAACAAGGTTATTATTTTTTTCGACAGACTCATTATTTCGAAATATGTTTAACCAAATTCTTTATGAGCTGCTTTTTTTTTTGTTCGACACAACTCTTCTTGTTTTTGTACGAGAAACTTTTTAATTTTCACTTTGATCCAATTTTCTACAAGGAAAGGGAATGGCTTTTTAAACTTGTGCAAAACAAAATTGAGGGTGTGTATATGAGTGTCGATTTTGTGTTCACTAACACCCACATCCACACCCTTGTCAAAATAAACTATATCAAGGAGGACATTCATATGGAAACTGTACATTTCTATGAAGGAGAACATTTTCGAATCGATTTCGAAGTAAGCGTAAACAATTTGTATTCATTTTTGATTTTCTTCTTAAATATAGTTCAGTGGAAACTGAAACTACAAATTGTTTTCGATCGAGTACAAGGACTTTATCAATCAAAATAGGTAAGTTAAGAATTTCTTAACTTGTCTACTTATTCCTAAATGTTCGCTTTTTATAGTATCGATGTGGAATACAACATGTTAAACCTTTTAGCATAAAAATAAAACGAAAAGCAAATGATATTTTCAAAGAATTTAAGAATGAACAATAACAGTAACAACAACACAACATTCCACAAACAGGAATATATGTCAAAATTACCATCATATAAAAACAAGTTTTCTTTTCATAGTTATTATTTCATAAAATAAATTTATCTCATCATATATTACTCAATGATGATATTTAGTCGATTTTTCTCTTTCATTTATTCAACATCAATGTTCTACGTCTTTATTTTATATTTCTTCGATGAGCATAATCTAAGAGATAGTTGAATTTACACCTATAACAAAAATATTTCCTTTGATCTGCATTTGCAATTTCAGTTCTCCTTTACTCTTTCCTTTTCATGTGAATACTACCATTCTATAAAAATCCATTTCGTCTGAGAACACGTTTTATTTAAACAAAAATTGATAATATTTATAATATTTTTGTATGAGGAAAATATTCTTTTACATATTTAGCAATTCGACATTTCCCTATTAGACCTAAACAACGCAGTTTTTTACAATTATTTCGTGTTCTATTACTTGTAAAATGTTGGGTCACACGTTTCAGTCTTTGATAATCAACAGAAAGATATAGATTATTTGGTAAACAGGTTTTCGTATCAATAAGAAATTCTTCGATATAATCATCATGAGCTTCAGTAAGATTAAGTTGAGAAAGATGTGGATATTCAATGATTGGCAAATACTCATTTTTATCATCTAATTTTCCACATTGCTTATCATTTTGTGATTTTCTATTAATAAAAGTTAATTTTTTCATGAATGGAAATGATTTTGAAATAAAACATATGTTATATATTTATAAAAATAATATAGAAATGAATACAATTATTTACCATTAGTTGTACGAGATGAGCCAAAAGTCAGGAAACACAATATTTTTTGATTTCGTCTCTATAGATGAATAATCAAATCTCTGATTTATAACACATATACTAGATTGTGGTAGTCAGAGGCGTAGAATATTATCAGTCTCTTGTATAGGTCATTATGACTAAAACGGAAATTATTGTTTCCTTGTTGAATTTGATTACCACTTTTCGTCTAATGGTACCGATTTGCAGAATAAAACAATCCGATTTATTCTGCAAATCGGTTCAATCAGACAAAAAAAAGGAAAAATAAAATTTGACATAGAAAGGTCAGTTTTGCTACAGTCACAAAAGAGTATACAAGAGACTGATAATATGTTACGTCTCTGGCTACTACTACCTAACATGTGTGGTGTAAATAAGAGATTTTATTATTCATGTATAGAGACTAAATCAAAACAAATCTTGTGTTTCCCTACTTTCAACCTACTCTCTGTATATGATCGAATTTATTTCATCATAGGAAACACTCGTTCTTTCTTATTATCATTATTCAACAAAACGATTGATCATGCCTCGTATATATTATAAAAATTTGAGGACAACATTCAACAGACAGAACAAAAAATAAAAGCGAAAAGCATACAATTTCAGAATTGCTTTTTATTATTAATATCCTCTAAACATGAATATCTATTTTTTGATATTGCTAATATGATAATAGAAATCTTTATAGTTACTCTTCACAAAAAAAAAATCAGGAAATCAAATTAATATCACGATGATAACTGAATACAAAAAGAAAAAAGAAAATTAACTAACTACATGATCCATCAAAAGTAATTAAAAATCGAGCTCGCCATGATTCATCACCAGGAACCAATGGATACCAATAAATATAATTAGTATCCCAAACATTATTATGTAAATTATAAGCCATACCATCTAATGATGGTGAATTTCCTGGTGCTGGATATGGAAGAGCTGTTGGTTCTTTATTTTTTAATATTGGACAAGCTTAAAATAAAAATAAAAAGAAATTTTTTTCTTTCAAAAGAAAAGATCTTTTTTTTTTAAACTAACCAATTGGTGCATCATATGATTTAACATTAATTGTAACGAAACATTTTGAAGATAAACTGGTTTGACATGAAAATGCATCGACGCCTCGTTGATAATATGAAGTATTTGTTGCTGCTTGTTGAACATCAACTTCAGTATTATATTGAATTAATGAACATGATGGTTGCATTGGAAGTAAAAATTTAATCATTGATGCTTCAGCAAGACGTGTAGCTGTTTTATTTAAACCTAACCATTCAAGCATAAATGTTGTTTCATCAATAAATGTATATGTTAACCATATTTCATTAAAAGCACCATATAAATTAATAGCATCAGTATCAATATTTAATTGAGCAAGAAAAATATTTTCATTAGTTCGAGATCGAAAAAAATTTTTCAATGTTGGTAACCAAACACGTGAAACTGGATTAGCATTTGCTGTTGAATTTGGTTTATCATAACCTAAGGATTTAAATGAAAATAAAGATCTTAATATCTTAATAAATTAAAGATTAATAATTATTTTTTTTTGCTTTCAAAATAGTAATTATACTATAGAAGTCGATGATAATTAATTGCAATGCTCGGAAATAAAATCGTCAAAAAAATTTACAGAGAAATAAACTCTGGCCTGTGTTCAGCACGAACGGTTTGCATTCGAAAAACCACCTAACCAGTTCAGGCAGTGTCAGATATGTGCACAAGCATTTCTTGAGGTATATAGGCAATTATAGAAACATCCTGAGGTTCGGCTAAGTTTCAGTATTTTTGAACATTGTTGTTAACTTTTCTTAGTATGTCTGCAGACCTTCAGTTTTTGAATCATGTATTCCACTGTGTGTAAATCTACCATAGTCAAGTCTGATATCCTTTCTTTTGCCTTACTTCTACTCCCTTTTATTAATTGACTGAGAATGATCGTAGTCAAGACTGAACATTCAGGTTCGCTGCATGCCTATAGTATAAATATAAATATTTAGTAGATTTTTCTAATTGTTCATGAAATGTTACGATTGTCGATCAAAACAGCCCTTCGTCTATTGATATCATAAGGTTTAATTGATTAAACATCTATGTACTACTATAATAACGATTTTTCTCAGATCTACTTAGATACACTGATGCAAAATACAAAAATTTGAATATCGTCTAGTAACAAAATTTCTTGTTTTGGAAGGTTAGTCACTAATTCAATATTTTTGAGCTTAGAGTGACAATTTATGTGACAATGTTCCATCACTTGCTAGAATATTTGAATGGACTAGCCGCTTTAAAAGTGGACAATTAAACATCGATGATAATCCTAGAGTCGGACGACCAATTTCTGCAACAGGCGAAATAACTCTTGAAAGTCTACTGATCGAAGATCGTCGAATCACAATTCAGTAAATAGCAGACACTCTAGATATCTTCAATGATCAATTACAAATGACGAAAGTCTATTCAAGATGAGTACCACATTTACTAACATCTGATGAACGAGACGATCGTTTTCAAATATGTCAAGAACTTTTGGTTCTCTATTTTATTGAAGGAGACGGCTTTCTTTTTCGAATTATACCTGGCGATGAGTCGGGGATTCATTATTATGAATCGGAATCGAAATAATCATCATGGCAGTGGAAACAAACAGATTCATCACTATAACTGAAAGAAAAAAAGTCTGCTGACAAAGTTTTATATTCATTTTTCTGGGATCATAAAGAGATAATTCTCAAACAGCCTGTACCACTGAGTTTGACAGTCACTAAAGTGTATTACGCACATCTTTTGGTAAAAGAACTTCATGCCGAAATTAGAAAATAACGGTCATGATTTGAAATATGAATTGTTTCGTCATCCATCTTATCCTTCAGACCTGACTATCGATGATTATTTTCTGTTTCCAGTTTTAAAATACTAACTCAGAGGAAGGTACTACAATGATCAACGTTTGTTATGTTCATCATTACATCAGTATCTGAATTGCCTATCTGAAGATGACTTCACAGCAGCTATACAAAAGCTTCTAGAGCGTTAGCAAAAGTGTATTACGACAGAGCGACGATATATCGAAAAAGAAAACATATATTTATAATTATAACTGACTTATCTTTTTTTAAAATATAATCAGTCTCAGAACCTTTTGCACGTCCTACATACACGAAGGTAAGTTATAATTGTTTTAAAATTTTTCCATAATCCATATAATGCTTCCTTATGTCGAAGGCATCTGCCTACTGTAGTTTTTGCTATTTCACAATGAATATAATTTTTATCATTTCGTAACAACTAGATAAATTCAAAATGTGGATGGCAACATTCAGTTAGATTTTATCGGCAAGATAATGTACTTATCCATTTGTGAATCGAAGTTTGTGAGAGATACATAACAATCATGTTTTTGTTACAGATGCGATTGATTCTATACTAGACTAATTACCGTAGCATCCTATTGTAGCTTTCCTTACAAATGTATTTTCTATTGAAAAATATTTTAATAGAAATTTTTCTCAATTATAATTTTTGAAATCATGAAAAATAAATTTTATTCTATTTGCAATCACATCTACATAATATTCTTATAGCTTTCAAATATTTAAAGATGAATACAAAAATTTTGAAAGAGGAGAAACTCAAAAAGGTGTTCTACTATTCAAAATATAATAATCATGGAAATTTAATCGAAATAGTTTTCTTTTTGATAATTTAACAATGAAGGTTCATTTTTAAAAAAAAAAGTTATTTCTTAATGATCTATTACATTATATGATTCAAAGTGAGTTTGAAATTAAATTTAAATTATTTCCTACCTGGATTTCCATATGTATTTGATAATTTATCAAAATCAGTTTCATTATAAGTAATATAAACATAGGTTCCTAATTGAGAATTTTCATCTGTCCAATAAATTTTTTCATTTCGAGTTAAATTTGAAATTGATCCTAAATTTTTATCAAATAAAACATATAGTGGATTTGATTCATCATGAAAAAGTACAAATGTTTCTGTTGGTGAAACACTTTTAAAATTATCTAAATTAGGTCTTGTTATATTATTAAATGCATAATTAAGTTCATCTTGTATTATATTATAAAGTGGATGATCACGAACAGCTTCTAAATATATATCAAAAAAATCTCGTTGTTCAAGCCATGCCATTCGACAATTATTATATGATTGCATTGAATTAACAACTTTTTGAAATTGTTTATTACTCCAATTGATTTGATCATATACTGATGGTAAACCCCAAGTATGTTCTACAAAGTAAATTGTAAGAAAATAAATAATCTATAGAGCAAAAGTTTTATCTTCGCTCATTTTTCGGTCACTAAAAGATAACTGATTACAGTTAGAATTAGAATTTTTCGCTATTTCCGAATATATGTTCAGAATTGCATTCTGAGATGGTAGTTGTACAGATAACTACTTTAGTCCTTTTTTTTAGAGCACGGTTTGCTCTAAAAAGCGCATTATTTACTTATATATTTTTTAAAAGCAGTTTTTGAAACAATGATTTTTCGACCAATTGCAATTTCTATAGAAACCAGTTCTTTAATAGAAATGCAGTGATAGGAGATTTTCGCTTATTGTAATATCTCGTTTTTGTATAGAATTTAGTGCTTTACAACAATATTGAATTGAAGCTATTCCCAGATACAAACTAGGAACTGTATCAAAACACTGCTATTTTCCTTTGTACAGAGATACTTTTGGATTTTTTCACAAAATTTACTGATAGTTGTTCAATAGAATATATAAAATAAAATTTTTATTTACCAGGTATTTTAATAAGAAATCGACTAGCATTAATTAATTGATCATCATCTGTTGTACATAAATTACGTTCAAAACATGTACTTAAAGCTCTTTGTAATGCTTGATATTGTTGTACACGTTTTGGATCTGATCCAATACCTTGTAACCATGAGTCAGATATATCACCATCAAATAATTGAAGTTCATCACCTATGCCTGATATATCTTCGAGAAAATTTTGAAATGATGATGATATAATTCGAGCACCTGGATATGATTGACGAAGAATTTCATGATTTTGACGAATTTCAGCAATTGACATTGGTGGACCTTAGTTAGCAATTTTGATAATAAAAAAAGCTTTAAAAAGAAAATTTTTCAAATTACCTTGATTATCACTACGAAATGCAAATGCTAAACCAACACCAATTTGTGGAACAATAACAAGATCATCTAGAGATATACCACCTGGATTCGCAAATGTTGAACCAGGATTATTTGGATAACCTAAAAATAATAATATTATGATATTTTCTTATTTACTTATTTTGCTTTTTTTCTCTATTTGAACTAAATACAAACCAAATGAATGCCATGTTGCAAGTACATTTAAATCTTCACTTGTTCCCCATCGAAATACACCATTTGGTATATCAAAACCAGTTACAGCTAAGATAGAAACAAACAAATCAATATCTTTTTTTTTCTTTTTATTTCTAAATTCTATATAAAATTTCTTCATACCAGGATTAACCCCAACTGTAACCATAGGTTTATTTGAACAATATTTTGAAAAATATTGATTTAATGATCGAATAATTGATATTGGAATTCCAGGTACATCACGTACACTAACAACACATGGAATAGGAACATTAAAACGTTTTGCTAATGAAACAGATAAATCTAATGAAAGATTTAATGCACGTTCATCCATCCATTCATATTGCATATTCATTGCACCAGCATGCCATGTTATTGAACCCATACGTATAGCTCGTTCAATTAATTCTAATTCATCATTTGATGGACATTTTAATTTTATACCAGCAAGAATAAAATTTGATGGACAATTGAAAAACATACTAAGTAACCATGGATGTGTTGTATAAATAAATGAATCATCGGGTGATATACGATGAGTTTGTTCAGCTAAAATAGCTGCACGAGGAAAATATTGATGAAAATATATATTAAGAATATTATTTATAAAACCAGTTGTTGGAATACCATTATAACCAACATCTAAATGATTCCTTAAAAAAAGAAAAAAAAGAGTTAAAAATTTATCAAAGATGAAAAATTAAAAAAAAAACAACAGATTTTTACATATTAATAACATGTATACGTGTTATATTTGATAGAAGACGATCCCAACAAGTAAAATCTTTTGATGTTGGCCAACAAATTGATGGTAAATCTTTTGAATATTTTATTACACCTGATAAACTAATACCATTATCACATACAAGATTTACTGAAGTATCATTAATTATATTTAATGTTGCTGTTGCCCAAGCTAATGTTTGTCCAGTTACAATAACCAAATAACGATTTAATGAATGTGACCAATCAATATTAAAAACATATTGATTATCATTATCTGGTATTCGCATATGATAATAACCATTTAATTGAGGTTCATTATCAACTAGAATTTTATCATCAGCTGATATTCTTAACAATGTAATAATGGTAAACAGAATACCAATAAACATCTTTAAAAAAAAAAAAGATATATATATATAAAAGATAGTTCTATTAAATTTTATTGTACATTAAAAAAAAACAATGAAAAGAGAAATTGTACTCAATATTCATTTTTTTTAAAATAAGATATATAAGACAAAATCTTCGAGGTTCTGAAAGTAGATAAACAAAGATAAAAAAAAGAAGTATGTAATGATATGGTTTTTTTTTTCTAACCAAAAAAAATTCTATTGGAGATTCATATTTGTGCAATAAAAGAAGATATAGCAAAAACAATGTACATCATCATTTATCACAAAGAAGCATTCAAATGACTTGTCAAATAATCCATTGAAAATTATAATATGAAATATGGATCATGTCATTAGGTAAAAAAAAAAAACAATTGAATTTTTTTTATTCAGAAATCATTTTCTTATTGGATTATATTTTACATTTGTCTTTCAATAATTATTCATTATTTTTACTTTCGATAATCAAAAATTATTAATAATTTATATACGAAAACTTTTAGTAGGTAATATTAAGCTTAATCTTTTTGTCTATTCTTTCCCATTGATCCAAACATTCTTTTTTTTTTCTCTTCTTATTTCCTGTGTGATATATTCGTTTACTCAAATAAAACAGGAACAAACATTATTGTTTATGTTAATTTAAAGAAAATGAAGTATGTGACAATATGTATATATGAACTTGACACTTTTCGGAACATGTATAGAGTAATATGATTAATGTTATTAAAAATATGCTTGATAAAAATATGAATGAACATAAAATTTTAAAAAGAAACTTCATTCTATGAATAAGTCCTGTCAATTGACCAACTTTAAATACAATAAATTTCCTTACAAATATTATAATAAAAAAAAAACTATTTAAGCCGCGTCTGTATGACTAGACAATGCTTGAGTATAGTCATCAAATGAATAAAAACAAAAGCATGCTGTTATTAGAAGAAAAAAAAGCAGATTAATCGATTATGTCTTGCAAACAAAACACGCCATGCAATTCAATTTATTTTGTTTTTTCATACATCAATGAAATTTATCTATAAAAACGGAAATTTCACGTGAGAAAAAAAATGTCCTATTCGTGAAGATAAAAAAAAAAGAGAAGGTAAATATTTGATTATGATTTTGTTATTGTTGTATTGTTGTTCCTGTTATTGATTGTGATGATCCTGTTGTTGTTGATTCTTCCGATGGTAAATGTGAAATAATATCACCAAGATTTGATTCAAGTGTATCAATTTTTCTACCTAATTCATTCATACGATTCATAACTTGATCACTTGCAGCAAGAAATCTTTCTTCCATTTGACGAAAAATTGTATTAACCTATTTCAAATTATTAATTAATAAATAATAAAAAGTACAAATTTAAAAAAAACAAAACTTACATAAGCTGTTAAATCATTAATATTATTTAGATCAGAAGGTAATGATGATACTGTATTTGTACCATTAACATGATTTGTTGTTGAAGATGATGATGACAGTGTTCGTGTATCGGTCATTTTTTAATGAAACTTTATGATTATGTCAAAAAAAATGTTGAGCGGAGTGTACAAATTGTTGGTTTGTTTTTTTTTCTTTGTCCTACAATATAACAGGCGTCTATCTGTTCAAATCGATAAATAAATCGACAGACGGCGCTAACTAACATCATCAATCGAGACCATTCAAAAAAGAAAAAAGAACGAATCTAATATTTCGTACGTATAAGGTCCTATGCTTCATACTTGTTTTATTTTATTCATAGAACGAATAGTCTATAATTTTTTTTCATCAATTCAATGGATCTTGTTATAAATATATAATCGAGGTAATTGCATCTATTATTCTTATGAACAATTAGATTGCATTATGTTATTCAAGGATTTTACTAAAAGAAAAAGAAATATTATTTATTCATGTTAAAATGTTAATTCTTGTAGATTGTTTTCACATTAAACAAAAGTAATAATATATTAAATTACTTTATTCTACTTAACATTTATTCTTTAATCTCAATATATATATTTGTATGCATATTAATCAGAAAAGATTATCGTCTAGTGTGTTAATATCATGTCAGTTGTTTTCATTAAATTGCGCTATTGATTCATGAGTTTGTTCAATATGTGAAATGACATGATCATAGTTAGCATTAATTTCATATGAATGATAAGCAAAAATTTTGATTTCTATATGAACGATTCATCGAATTCGATATGAATAACATCTATATGATTATTTTTTTTGCTTAGATAACGTTATTCATCAAAATTTTAATTAATCTAGAAGAATAAATATAATGTTCAAGGCGGGAAAAGAAAAAAAAACATGAATTCTAATGATTATTTGAAATATTATGATAAAACTATCTTGATTATCGTATATGTCAATGCTTTTCACATAAGTTCCATTGGTGTCTTTATCTGGTTCTTTTCTTTTCTATGTCTCCTTCATCAGTCATTCATTCTCTTGTGCTTTGGCAGTTAGCTGTTTTCTTTCACCTTTGCCTATCTGTGTGTATGAATAAATATGTGACTTATTTTTAAGGTTAGCATATTTATTATCATAGGTCTTTTTTTCTCTGTCTTGATGTATTGCTTCATTGCTTTTTATTAGTATTGAAATAATGAATGATACCATTTTTATTATGTAAGATTTTTCAAGGATTTATTCTTTTTTTTTTTTGTTTCATGATGAAAACTCGTTTGATCTAATAGATCCTATAAATCACTATCATCTTTGTCTTTCATCACTTGAAAAAAGATTTGTTGTCACGCACATTTTCGTTCTTTGATATTTTATGTCAGTCTGCATCAAATTACCTCTCCTATACACATGTGCATAAATATATATAGAAGTCTCTAAAGAGATTGTGCATATACACAAATAAATTAGATGAACCATTCATCGTATTTTATATGTGTCGACGTTATTATATAGAATGATGAATACGTAATCGACTTTATATATATATGCATGGATGTGAATGATGACTAGCCGGTAGGGATAAAGGCACGCCCACATGCACACGTTCATTCGCTGGTATTGTGAGTGTTTATGCGCCCTCCTTTCGTTTACAGTGGTTGATTAAGCAGGAATAGTAACAATACAACGTGTTCTTGCAACTGCTGATGCCTCCTTCTTCTTTTTTTCTTCTTTAATTCAATGTGCATGTTTGTTGAACATGAGCGAAAAAGAAATCGTTCAACAGTTATGTTCGTGTGAATAAAAGGGTAGAGAAAGAGAGAGAGAGAGAGAGAGAGAGAGAGAGAGAGAGAAAGAAGAAAAAAAGGAAAAGGTTAACATTCCACAGTCAGTCATTAAAGAAAAATATCTACAAAGAAAAGTGTAAACCTCATTTATAGAAATGATCATATGTCAGAATCACCAATTAAGAAGTGTACTCAGTAGAAGTATGAATAGTTATTTATTTTTTTCCATAGATAAAGAAAATATTTATCTTACGAATTCTTTTTTGTTTTAAGATTAATAAATCAATAATGAAAATTAGTATACTTGTTATAAATATTGTCGTACCAATGTTTATATCAATTGGTTTATATATATATGGTTTAATAAGTACACGTTGGAATTATATTGATAATAATTTAATTAATCAATATAATTTAACAAATAAACAACAAGAAGAATATATACAATTAAATAATAATATTCAAGTAGAAAATCAATTAATTCGTTATGGATTTCGTACACATTATGGTTTACTTGGTTATTGTTTAGATTATAAATGGATTAATTTATTTATATTAAAATCACAAATAAATATTCAAACTAATAAAAATTTCTTTTGTCAACAATGTAATCAATCATCATTGATTTGTCCTGAAACGGGATGTTGTGTATGTATAAAAATTTAATACAAAAAAAAAAACAAAAATATCTCTAAATTTTTTATATAGATGAAAAAATGTGACAATATACCTGATTGTCCATCATATATTGATGAACAAGAATGTCATCGTCCATATAATCAAACACGTTATTATTGGAAAGAAGGAAATTGTATGTGGCAAACAATATTAATTGATAATCAAGATATACCACGTTATTTATCATCATATTCAACATCACCACGTGATTTTTATTATTATATGAAACGTATACGTCATTATATAATGTTACTTTTATTTATTATTGCACCATTATTAACATTAATGTCATTATTAATATTATTTTGTATAAATTGTATTGATAGATTTTATTCAATACCATTTTGTTTTATTAGTTTTTTTTCTTTAATATCATTTTTAAGTGGTTCAAGTGGTTTAGGAATATTTTTATATGAATGGATATATGAACGTTTATATCGACCAGATTATACATATGAATTAAATCAAAATGAATCATTAATTCTTACATTAAATCCATGGATAATTAATGTTGAATGTTTAGGTTTAGCTTTTTGGATTATAATTGCTGCTATTGGAATAAATTTATATACAACAATACTTAGTTGTTGTTTTTGTTGTGGATTACAAACAAATAAATCAAAATTACGTATACATATCAAGAATGATAAATATGCTATTATTCATACAAGTCCATATGATGAATGAATAATCAAGTTTAGAATTAATTTGAACAAAAAAGAAAATTAAAATATGTAGATTAGTGTTGTTTTTTTTTCTTTTTTCGTTTAGTGAATCTTGTAGAAAAAATTAATGTGTATTGTATCAAACAGCCATTATCCGGTGATTATATACATCGTTTGTTTTCTTCTTTAGGCTGTTGTTTGATCTTATATCTTCTATATCTATTGTTTGTTTGTTTGTTTAACTACTTCGTTTTTTTTTGTTTTTGTTCTCATTGAATAGTTCTGTAATACAATCTTCAACTTTTATTATTATTATTATTATTATTATTATTATGACTAAAGTTTTTATCTCGTTATTGTTTATTTGTACAAAATTAATATCTATTAAAAGAAAGAAAATGAATGTAATGAGAATTTGAAAAAACAAATAATTAAGTCAATGTCAATTGAATTATTTCATTAGATTAATTGATCAATATGATGGCAAATATATTAAACTAGATTAGTTCATCTTTCTTTTTTTTTCTGACATATAAGCAAATCTATTTGACATCAAAACTTATAGGTTAGATCTATCCTAGTGATTCAACTAGAAATTTGTACATTAATTGATGAATGTATTCTTTTTAAATATGAATGACTATTTGCATAATCGTCATCATCATGTTTATTATTTAATGGTTATTATTGCATCATAAGATACATGCTAATCAAATAAACAATGATAGAAAGAAATTCAATGAAAGAAAAGCTAATTATCAATATTGTAGAAACTTAAATATAAATATTTAGATTAATTATCTTATGATGACAAATTAGATATAATCAATATTCTTGTGAAGATCTTTATTATTCCAGTAGTGTAGAACTCGTTAAGTCGTAACGACTTTTCAACTATTCGACTATTCAACCTTTCAACTATTCAACTTTCCAACTATTCAACTTTTCAACTATTCGGGTGTGAGGTGTAGGTGTGGATGCGGGTGTCCTTTTCATCAACACCCACACTTCGCACCCACATCCATGCCCCACACCCACCCATACCCCACATCCACACCCACAGCGACACCCCACCCATACCCCACACCCTAAGTAAAGGTACTCTAGCGTTTTCTATTCGTTGAATTCACACGAATGTTCTTGAACATGACGTCATTCTTTTTTCTGTAACTATATATTGTCATTTTTCTATCTAACATATTGTCTTGATAATGCTATAGATATAGCAAAACACGTCGACTAATTTATTGAAAATTATTAATAAATAAATATAAATATGGTTAGTTTTTTTGCTGCTGTTAAAGCTATATTATTCAGTCAAATCTGAGTGAGTAGAAACTGAAACTTGCATAATATATTATGTTTTACTTCCAGATATACCAAGAACTACTCAACAAATAATATATGTTCCGCTAAAGCATCATTTCTTCAGTGTGGGTGTGGATGTGGGTTTTGAAGGATAGAACACCCACACCCCACACCCGCCTACAAGGGCAAAATTTTTACTTGTTATGATAAAATTATACTAGCTGCACATTGGTCATTAATTCATAATGATTTTGTTGTCAAGGATCAAGAAGAAACAGTAAGCAATTATGTCTTGTTCTATGGATGTTTATTGTCTTTTAATATATAGGAGAACATCGCATTTACCTTCTATCGAGATGGTGCTGGTCATGTCAAAATAAATTATACCAAGGAGGACATTCAAATCGAAACAGTACATTTTTATGAAAATGAACTTTTTCGAATCCGTTTCGAAGTAAGCCTAAACAGTTTGTATTCATTTTTAATTTTCTTTTTAAATATAGTTCAATGGAGATCAAAACTACAAATGGTTTTCGATCAAATACGAGGACTTTATCAATCAAAATGGGTAAGTTAAGAATTTTTTAGCTTCTCTACTTATTCCTAAATGTTCTCTTTTTATAGTACAGATGTGAAATACAATAAGTTAAAGAATTTAGCAAAAAAAGTAAAACGAAAAGCAAATGATGTTTTCAGAGAATTCAAGATTGAACAACAACACTAACAACAACACAAACAACAACACAACATTCCACAAACAGGAATATGTCAAAATTACCATCATATGAAAAAAAGTTTTCTTTTCATTTTTATCATTTCATAAAATAAATTTATCTCATTATATATTACTCAATGATGATATTTAGTCGGTTTTTTTCTTTCTTTTATTCAACATCAATATACTACGTCTTTATTTTATATTTTTTCGATAATCATAACCTAAGAGATAGTCGAATTTACACCTGTAACAAAATATTTTCTTTGATCTGCATTCGCAACTTCAGTTCTCCTTTACTTTTCCCTTTTCATGTGAATACTACCATTCTATAAAAATCCATTTTGTCTGAGAACACGTTTTATTTAAACAAAAATTGATAACATTCATAATATTTTTGTATGAGGAAAATATTCTTTTACATATTTAGGAATTCGATATTTTCCTATTAGACTTAAACTACGCAGTTTTTTACAATTATTTCGTGTTGTATTACTTGTAAAATGTTGGGTCACACGTTTCAGTACTTGATAATCAACAGAAAGATATAGATTATTTGGTAAACAGGTTTTCGTATCAACAAGAAATTCTTCGATATAATCATCATGAGCTTCAGTAAGATTAAGTTGAGAAAGATGTGGATATTCACTGATTGACAAATGCTCATTTTTATCATCTAATTTTCCAGATTGCTTATCATTTTGTGGTTTTTCATTAATTAAAGTTAATTTTTTTATGAATGGAAATGATTTTGAAATTTGAAAAAAAAAATAATGTTCAAAAGGTTGTTCATCAAATAGCGATACTTCACGAACATATTTAGATATTCCACCTGGAAAGTTATTTGTTATTTTATGATACGCTTTCCATTCGTATGGATATGAATAAATATGACATTGACCTTGTTTTATCTCGGAAAAATAATCAACACAAGAAATAATTTGATTATTTGGAAAGTGATTAAATGTATATTGAATATCTTCATTGGACGGTAAATTGATTTGATTATTAAGACGAACAGTTGAGCGAATATTGAATGTAAATTTATTTAATTTCGGCATACGATTGATAATATTTTTTTCAAATTATTGCCATCGATTAATGCGTTCTTGCAACAAATCGCAAGATATAAATCAAGCTTTTCTAAATTGAACATTCGATGTAACAATGGAACAATTAGTTCATCATAAGCAAGTGTATCTGTACCACAATGTAATGAAAAGCATTTTAAATCAGGTAAACTTTCCTTAAAAAAAACATAGAATTTCATTTGAATAAATTCGATTTTGATGGAAAACAATCTACCATATTATTGCTTATTAAACGTGAATAACAATGAATCCAAGAAATGTTAACATAAAGTGCTCGCAGTTGATCAAAACGTCCATCAAGTAGATAAAGACAGTCGTTAAAGCTTCCTACACTGACATGTAGTTCTAAAAGTGTTGATGAAATAAAGATTGGAGGTGAAATCACAAATGATATGTATTGATAATCAATTGAAGATGAACAGAAGTTTAAATACTGTAGATTGGTGAACATAGTAAAGAGATTTGTAAACATAATGGTATTCTTATCTGTTATTGAAGTTTGCTTTCTATTTTGTCTAATAGAGATAATAAATGATAAAATTTGATTTTTCATTAAATCAGTAAAAATATTTCCATCTAAAGATAAATATAAAAGTTTTTCGAAAAAAATTAATCATCTGTACATGTTCTTTAGATAAATCTTATTTTTCATACAAACATTTATACTAATTTTCAACTAACGTTTTTTTTTTATGAAGATTTTCTTTTTACTCATTATTTACGTTGGAAGTTACATTTCGAGATAAAACCAATTTCTTATCGATAGGATATCCAATCATCTATTTTATTCCATTAAGTCAATGATGACATGAACATTACGCACTTTTACTATTCTTCTCATTTGTTGAAAAAAAAATCAATAACAAAAAAAACATCTTACTAGTGAATAAATGTGCCGTGGTTTCTATTTCAAGATTATATAAACCGAGTCCATATAAATTTGGATAATTTCCAGAAAGAATCCGTTCCATAGATGATGATTCAACGTTTAGCCATTGAATTTGATGATGAATTTCAGGTAAAATTTGTGAGTAAAATCGATGAAGTATTCTCTCGGATAATGGTGAGATACAATCATTGGCGGATCTCGTCATCAATGTTAAATGACTTGTAAAAATTGAATCATGTACCAATGTATTGAGCCGTTTATTAACACCCATTAAAGAATACAGTACTTGATCATTGTCTAATTTTTTCAAAATATAAATAAGAACTTCATCTGACAAATCATCTAATTGAACGAGTGAATGTGCCATAATTATTTTCTCGTCTCTTATATTCATTTATAACGTTAAAATGTGATCATTTATACATAGACATTGACGTCATCTGTCTGACTTTAATCGTCAATGAGAACAATGGTGCATTGTTTTTTTCTATAATCTACCTTGACTATGAATAAGCGAATGAACGAAAAAAAAAACACTATATTGGTTTGTCTTTGCTTCGACATATTACATATGATAGATACGGATTAAATCTTTTTTTCTATATCTAAAAGAACTGATTTACAGAAAGTTAAAAATTGTTTCATCTGAATAAAATAATACTTCGTGCTTTTTTTACATCAATTTCGTTTTATTTTTTAACGTAAGCTATTGTTTTTTTCAACTATGAGAAATAAAAATCAAATGATTACCCAGAGCGATAAATTTCGGTCCCGGATCCTGTCGAAAGTTATCGGAATCTCTAGTCGCAGGATTCGATCATCGGAATTGGCGGATCCATCTGTCGGAAAACGCTGGAAAGTATAGAATCCGGTAGGATCCTATCAGATGTCTACCGATAAACCAGATATTACCGGCAGACCAATACTTTATTCACAAGCTTTTACTGTGTAGTACGTCATGTATATATATATATGTGGGCGTGAGCAGCCGACATGAAACCTCAATTTGGCTTCTTTCTATTATCAGTTAATAACTTAACTATATTCGGACCAAATTATCACCCTCATCGCTAAGTCACTAAATTTAAAATATCAGCTGTTGATGCTGAACTTATAAGAAATTGTTCAGTTCCTTCAAAACAATAGGACATGCTTTTAGAAACTGAATAATTTTCTTATAAGTCCGGCGGGTGTGGGTGTGGGGTGTGGGTGTGGGTGGGTGTGGGTGTGGGAGTGGATGTGGGCGTGGGTACATCTTCTCTACACCCACACCCACACCCGCATACGATTTACATTTTGCCGACTATCTCGCCAGTAGTGTAGAACTCGGTAAGTCGTAACGACTTTTCAACTAAACCCCCCGACACATTAGAAGACCCCCCACCCCTGTGGCAGAGATGGCCCTCCCTTGAATCAACGAAGTGAAGGATAGATGAGAAGACCCACCCATCTCCTCTGACGATCCCCTTAGAAGCAGGTGAGCAGGTCCTCTAATCTATCCTTTGGGTTGTTGATTCAAGAGAGGTCATCTCTACTATAGGGGTGGGGGGTCTTCTAATGTGTCGGGGGGGTTTATTCAACTATTCGGCTATTCAACTTTTCGACTATTCAACTTTTGAACTATTCAACTATTCGACTGTTCAACTACTCGACTATTCAACTATTCGGGTGTGAGTGTGGTGTAAGGTATAGGTGTGAATGTGAATGAGGGTGTCATTTCCATCAACACCCACACCACACTTCACGCCCACACTCACACCCACCCACATCCAGCCACATTCATATCCATGCCCTACACCCACCCACACCCATACCCCACATCCACTATCGCCACCCACAGCGACACCCCAACTACTGAATAGTTGAATAGTCGTAACGACTATTCGAGTTTTGCACGTATGAAATAATAATGAAATTTTGTTTGATTTGATTTCAGGTTTATATTAGTAAATGACATCATCATGCAGTTCGTGTATATGGACCGGCAACAACTTATTATGTCATCAGTTTCTCGAACAACTTTACAACTTCAACGCCAACACTTTCAATCCAACGACAACAACCCACACAGAATGCTCAACATGTCATCATTTAGTCATCAACCATCAGTCAAATCTGAGTGAGTAGAAACTGAAACTTGCATAATATATTATGTTTTACTTCCAGATATACCAAGAACTACTCAACAAACAATATATGTTCCGTCAAAGCATCACTTCTTCGGTGTGGGTTTTGAAGAATAGAACACCCACACCCACCCACACCTCACACCCATGAGAGGGGCATTTGAAAATTGATTCTCAGTATAAGAATTACATATTCTGGTAGAAAATTCAATTCTGCATTTAATGGTGTATTTTTTATGTTTTTGCAATGGGATCTGAGTTCAGAAAAATCGATCACAATATCTAAACTCAGCACATAGAAGCGTGACTCATCTCTTTTTTTGTAATTTTTGTCTTTTATTTTGATGAAATTATTAATTTTTAATGTATTCTAGGAAAATGTGTTTCGGTTGCTAAGGAAGTTTTTAGTGGTATTTTATGGACTGGAGGGGGTGGGGGGGTGGTAAAACATGCTCGAGCGCTGATTGGTCTGTTGGAAGATCGATTGTGATTGGAGGTCATGGTAGCTTCACATCGATTTTTCTAATATAATTTTTACATTTTAAACTGCATTTGATGTTCAAAGTAAATATACCAAAAGATGCAGCAAGTTCTGGGTTTTCTTCCTATATATATTAAGTTAATAAATAAAAATGTACAGTAATAAAAAAACAAAAAAAATGAAAGGGTATAATTTCAATTGCCCTTAACTGTAAACTTCTCAGTATTTCCTCAAGATCTCTGCCATTTCCTATTGTTTTGAGCCGAACTTTTTCCCAAAATATTCAACATGTCATTGTCTATAAAATCATAGCAAAAAGTCAATTATCAAGATTAAAGAGAAAAATTTATTCGAGAAATGCTACGCATATGTATGACAAACAATTTTCAAATACAAATATGCAAAACAAATATTCTCTCTTTCTGCTAATAAACATCTAATAATGTATAACAAGGATTGGATCATACCTATAACTCTTCAAGGTCTACAAAATCAATAGTGAAGCTTTTTCATATCACGACATGAACACACATAAACAATAAAAAGAGATGTTAAATATATATTTGAAAGTTATTCATTATGCATATTTACTGTGGTTCTCAAATAAATTTATCTCTTGTATTTACAGTCTATATTTTAATATAGTTTTAAAAATAATTGCATCCTCCATATTTTGAAAAAAGTTCAAACCGAAATGATATAAAGAATGTCAAAAATACGAGAATCCCGTTCTTCGCCAATAAGACTTTCAACAATAGTTACAGAGCAGTATTAATGTAACATATATCTAAGAACTATAGCAAATGTTATGAAAATGTATCTTGATGTTTGTACTACTGAATGTAGTTATAAGATACTGGAAGGCTCATTTATTTGACATTATTATATATGTATATTATTATTATTAATAATAGAGAATTGAAAGGCGCATTCAAATCTGCAGATGAAGATCGTAAAAATAGACTAAAGTTATATTGAATTGATAGCATTCCAAAAGCAGAAGGAAATAAATATTTGATACAAATTAAAAACAATACAATATAACATTGGTTTTTTTTTGACAAGTTTCCAATTTAATAAAGTTTAGATGTGTCGAGAAACAAATGATATGTTATCATAAAATTCAGA